GAGACACACATGAAAAAACAGCAAGACAGGAGACAACACATGGAAACACAGTAAGACAGGAGACAACACATGGAAACACAGTACGACAGGAGACAACACATGGAAACACAGACAGAAGACAACACATGAAAACACAGACAGAAGACAACACATGGAAACAAAGTAAGACAGGAGACAGCACATAGAAACACAGTAAGACAGATGACAACACATGGAAAGACAGTAAGACAGGAGACAACACATGGAAAGACAGTAAGACAGGAGAGACAACACATGGAAAGACAGTAAGACAGGAGACAACACATGGAAAGACAGTAAGACAGGAGACAACACATGGAAACACAGTAAGACAGGAGACAACACATGGAAACACAGTAAGACAGGAGACAACACATGGAAACACAGTAAGACAGGAGACAACACATGGAAACACAGTAAGACAGGAGACAACACATGGAAACACAGTAAGACAGGAGACAACACATGGAAACACAGTAAGATAGGAGACAACACATGGAAACACAGTAAGACAGGAGACAACACATGGAAACACAGTAAGACAGGAGACAACACATGGAAACACAGTAAGACAGGAGACAACACATGGAAATACAGTAAGACAGGAGACAACAAATGGAAACACAGAAAGACAGGAGACAACACATGGAAACATAGTAAGACAGGAGACAACACATGGAAACACATTAAGACAGGAGACAACACATGGAAACACAGACAGAAGACAACACATGAAAACACAGACAGAAGACAACACATGGAAACAAAGTAAGACAGGAGACAGCACATAGAAACACAGTAAGACAGATGACAACACATGGAAACACAGTAAGACAGGAGACAACACATGGAAACACAGTAAGACAGGAGACAACACATGGAAACACAGTAAGACAGATGACAACAGCACATTAAAACAAGAGGAGACAAAAAAAAACATAACACAAGATTGAGATATCTTACCATTCTCTGGTGATTATATTTGTGAAGATCAATACAAGTTATCATTGAGGGAAATCCACCAAATGTTTGCAAATGTCTACCATTCTGTGTGAAGAAAAAAAAAACCAAAGCATACATGCATTAGTCATTAATGGCTGAGATGCACAGTATACACATACATTGTGTTATACATAACATCAGTAACACTGACCAATTTAAGAATTGGAATGAATTAGAGTCCTCAAATACAAATGAGATCGAATGTTATATTCTTTAGTATGTTCATTCTGGCCATTTCTATACAAAAGAAAATAACAACCAAAATGAAATGATTCTTACGTCAATATTGAAGATGCGGATGAACTTATCCAATGATGATGTCATTAGGTTCTTCTTCTCAGCCACCTTCAGACCAGTCACTGCGCCTTGATGACCACTATATTGCTGTTCAATTCGTCCAGACTGAAATATAAGTCAACAATATTTCTATTTTATGATAAATACATTTCTAAACCATCATCACATTTTCCAGACTGGACCACCACCACCATCATAACATTTTCCAGACTGGACTACCCTCATCACATTTTCCAGACTGGACCACTAACATCACATTTTCCAGACTGAACCACTCATCACATTTTCCAAACTGGACTAGCACCATCACATTTTCCAGACTGGACCACTAACGTCACATTTTCCAGACTGAACCACTCATCACATTTTCCAGACTGGACTACCACCATCACATTTTCCAAACTGGACACTAACATCACATTCTCCAAACAGAACCCCCACCGTCACATTTTCCAGACTGGACCACCATCATCACATTTTCCAGACTGGGCCACCATCACATTTTGTAGAATGCTTCACCACATTTTCCAGACTGAACCATTATATTTTCCAGACTGGACCACCACCATCACATTTTTCAGACTGGACCATTATATTTTCCAGACTGGACCACCACCATCACATTTTTCAGACTGGACCACAGCATCACATTTTCCAGACTGGACCACACCATCACATTTTCCAGACTGGACCACACCATCACATTTTCCAGACTGGACCACCACCATCACATTTTCCAGACTGGACCACTCTCATCACATTTTCCAGACTGGACCACACCATCACATTTTCCAGACTGGACCACTCTCATCACATTTTCCAGACTGGACCACACCATCACAATTTCCAGACTGGACCACATCATCATATTTCCCAGACTGGACCACACCATCACATTTTCCAGACTGGATAACCACCATCCTATTTTGTAGAATGCTTCACCACATTTTCCAGACTGGACCACGCCATCACATTTTTCAGACTGAACCACCACCATCCTGTTCCCCAGACTGGACCACCACTACATTTTCAGTCTGAACCACCATAGTAGTTTCCATAATGACCACCAACATAGCAGGTCAGAATGTAGAAATTATGATGCTGTTTTGCACAAAAATAAAAATTGCAGGAAAATGGTTCATCTGCAAATCAGAGAGTAATTACATTTGTGCTACAAAACGGAAGGTGTAATTAGGACACATTCACCAAATAAGAGTGAAGAGTAACAATTTAACTTTAATCAGCTCACTGTGGACAATTACAATATGGATACATGATTGATTAAAACAACCTGAAACATTAATATTAAATTACAACATATAACAAAAATATTATCATGGTTTTTATGAATACTGGGTTTGGTACATGTAGGCATCTTATGTATGAATACTGGGTTTGGTAGGTATCCAATGTATGAATACTGGGTTTGGTGGGTATCCAATGTATGAATACTGGGTTTGGTGGGTATCCAATGTATGAATACTGGGTTTGATAGGTCTCCAATGTAGGGATACTGGGTTTGGTGAATATCCAATGTATGAACACTGGGTTTGGTACAAATGTAGGTATCCAATGTATTAATACTGGGTTTGGTGGGTATCCAATTTATGAATACTGGGTTTGGTAGGTATCCAATTTATGAATACTGGGTTTGGTAGGTATCCAATTTATGAGTACTGGGTTTGGTGGGTATCCAATGTATGAACACTGGGCTTGGTGGGTATCCAATGTATGAACACTGGGCTTGGTGGGTATCCAATTTATGAATACTGGGTTTGGTAGGTATCCAATTTATGAATACTGGGTTTGGTAGGTATCCAATTTATGAGTACTGGGTTTGGTGGGTATCCAATGTATGAACACTGGGCTTGGTGGGTATCCAATGTATGAACACTGGGTTTGGTAGGTCTCCAATGTATGAATACTGGGTTTAGTAGGTATCAAATGTATGGATACTGGGTTTGGTGGGTATCCAATGTATGGATACTGGGTTTGGTGGGTATCCAATGTATGGATACTGAGTTTGGTGGGTATCCAATGTATGAATACTGGGTTTGGTGGGTATCCAATGTATGGATACTGAGTTTGGTGGGTATCCAATGTATGGATACTGGGTTTGGTGGGTATCCAATGTATGGATACTGGGTTTGGTGGGTCTCCAATGTATGAATACAGAGTTTGATGGGTATCCAATGTATGGATACTGAGTTTGGTCGGTATCCAATGTATGGATACTGGGTTTGGTGGGTATCCAATGTATGAATACTGGGTTTGGTAGGTATCCAATGTATGAATACTGGGTTTGGTAGGTATCCAATGTATGAATACTGGGTTTGGTAGGTATCCAATGTATGAATACTGGGTTTGGTGGGTATCCAATGTATGAATACTGGGTTTGATAGGTCTCCAATGTAGGGATACTGGGTTTGGTGAATATCCAATGTATGAACACTGGGTTTGGTACAAATGTAGGTATCCAATGTATTAATACTGGGTTTGGTGGGTATCCAATTTATGAATACTGGGTTTGGTAGGTATCCAATTTATGAATACTGGGTTTGGTAAGTATCCAATTTATGAGTACTGGGTTTGGTGGGTATCCAATGTATGAATACTGGGTTTGGTTGGTATCCAATGTATGGATACTGGGTTTGGTGGGTATCCAATGTATGAATACTGGGTTTGGTAGGTCTCCAATGTATGAATACTGGGTTTGGTAGGTCTCCAATGTATGGATACTGGGTTTGGTGAATATCCTATTTATGGATACTGAGTTTGGTGGGTATCCAATGTATGGATACTGAGTTTGGTGGGTATCCAATGTATGGATACCGGGTTTGGTGAATATCCAATGTATGGATACTGGGTTTGGTGAATATCCAA